GCTTTACAATTGCTTTCTTTGGTTTTCAACTTTATTTTTTTATTTTGTTTTATTATATGGCTAGCACCGTGAGTGGGCAAGATAAATCAAATCCTGCGCTTTGATTGGCTACCCGAGCAAGCAAGATGGAGCTATCTTGCCCGCTCGGGAATACCCGGCGCGTCCAGCAAGAAAAATTTCCCCGAAAGCCACATAATAAATCCTTTATTGACCAAGCTTGTTCGGTCAAGATGGCTGGATATTGACCTCGTTTTTATTTTTTGCGAGTTTATGGACCTTGACTCCGTCTCGGTCCATAAACACGCAAAAAAAGAACTTGGCCAATATCCAGCCATCTTGACCTTACACTTGGTCAATAACCCATATTTATTTTCGTTTTCTTTCCTTTGTGGCAGACGCGCTGGCCTTCTGGTTAGGGCGCTGCAGGACACGGATCGAGCGGTCGCAGGGGTTATTGCGATGTGTTCTTGGGCAAGACATTTTACCCTCTATTGTTAAGTTCCGTGAAAAAAACCAGACGAAATACTTATTGTTCGCCCCTAGTTTTTTTCTTTAGCCCTGTTCAGACCGGGGTATAGGGGACGGAAAGTGCCCGCGCTAACTCACTAGTGCCCTCCCAGTTTCATTATCATGATTGCTTTTATATTTTGGTACGGAGCGGGACAAGGGGGGTGGGGTCCCTCCCTTGTTCAGCAGGACGGCAACAAGCTCATCCGGTCTATTCAAGGTTAAGTGCAACACTGTCAAATAAGCGGGGTCTTATTCCTCAAACAAAGTGCGTCATTTTTATGTGGCGTAAAAAAAGCTCTTCCCTGCGTTTGGAAGCAGTCCTGTGACTTAACGCTTTGTATCAGCTTTAAAACGCTTTACAATGAGTCAGCGCTACTCAGCTTAACTCAACCGATTTAAATAGCATACTGATTTGTTTTATTTATTTCTCAAAGACTATGAAGTGCTTTGTTTTCTTCGTAATATCTTTGGTCTTAGTGGCGTCAGCCTCTCTCGATAACCGACCTCAGGTAAGCGTGTTTCTGTGTTACACTGTACAGCTATACGTGTCTGAAAGACGACCTATTGCATTCGTTCCTCAGTGTTCTTGCGTAATTAAAATCGTTTTCAGTAAGGACTGATATGATTCATTTATTTCTTTGACAGGACGAAAAACATGACGAAGACCCTGGTTAGTTCGGGTATCAACCTTCTTTTAGCCATTGCTTTGTTTTACATAATTCAATAACGTATTCAGTACATATACATGACCATACACATGTAGATACCCACTTTATGCTGAGCGCTTTCAATGGACTGCAAAATTAAGACTGTGTTTGATTTGTTCGTACGTTTGATAATCTTCAGTTCCTCGTGATATTTGAAAATTCTTTCAAATTGCACTCGCGTAATTATAAAGGCTCGTACAATTTTTAAATATCACTCAGTGTGTGAATCCTTAATCGCAGCTAATCGCACTCGCATTCATACGATTACCTATACTAATGTACAGTTTCTTTGTTGTTTTGTCCAGGTGTTTTGTACGTTATAGGTCTGTTTGCTTTGCCCCATGTTGGCCGACCTCAGGTGACAAATGACTTCACCCGTCAGTTCAGTGGTAATAACAACTCAAACAATCAGAACATTTGTAACAACAACAACAACAACAGCAGCAACAACCACAACAACAACAACGGTGGTAGTGGCAACACCAACAGTAGCTACGGATATGGCAAATGAAAGTTCTTTCCTTCGGTTGTGTCTTGAGCATGGAAAACGACTTTTCGTTGTAGTTGAGTAATGTTTTCGCTTGTAGACCTGACGTTCTTAGCACGTCAGGAACGAAAGAGCGGTAATTGTAGAAGTAGTGAGACAATAAAGGTGATAAAAATGCAGTTTATTATTTGTGTGGTCAATTGTGTAATTGTTCAAAGAAATTTGTACTGTGAGTGATAAAAGTAACAAAGAAATTCTTAGACAAGCCGTTCAAATAGGGAACGAATAGCCCAATTTCGATATATTAAAATTCAGCCTAAAACAATAGACCTCAGCACGAGGCTCCCGGGGAATAAACACCACAAATTCTGTAGTTCTTTCCCGGAGCCTTGTGCTGAGGCGTATTGTTTTAGGCTGAATTTTAATATATCGAAATTGTTCTATTCTATTCGTATGTTTTATATTCCATATTATTGCCCTAAGGAGCCCACAACACATGCGCACAAAATATCACTGAAATCCTGCGTAAAATGACCTAAAATGCAAAGTTTTATTTTGGGGCTCTAAGATTATGCTACTAGGAATTTGAATCCTGTGAATCGAATTTTTAAAACGCAATGCATTTTTTAAACAAGAGTAGCTAAGAACCACGTTCGAGTCCTCAGTCTTAGGACTGGTTTTCATTTCGACAATAGCACAAGCTCAAAAGCATAAGCAATGCATACAATGCAGAATTAGTAAAGTGCTTCAGTACTCATAAGCCAAGAAAGTTAAGTGGACAAAAATCGAGGTAAAACTTTTTTCCAACCCGAACAGAAATGATATGCCTTCTTGGCTGATAAGTAAATGCAAGACTTAAATTTTTAGAAATACTATAAAGATATTTTTAGAGCTCGCAACAATTAAAGCTTTTAAAAGGCCTTATTTTGGAGATGTACTTTCGATGTGATTTGATTAGTTGGTTCGCGAAAATTTATCTATAAGCATCCGATAGAATACTTTCTGAAAAATGGCAAAATTCCTCTGTCTTCGCTGGTGTTCATCTCTGAAGTCTAAACTGCGTAGGAGGCTACTGCTGTGAGTTTCTTAGGGATCCTTAGCTTTTATTTGCCTTGCATCGGAAGATAAGGGCGTCAACATGGCCGCGGTCATCGAGCCGTAAAGTAACAGAAACTTCTCAAACTCATTAATAATTCATTAAGTTTAAACAAAGGAAATCATGAACGTGACGGTGTTTGGATATCTGATCTTAATTAGTATAGATTTTAACGATTTTATTTCTCCGTTTTTTCCTTAGTTTTAGTTTCGATTGAGAAGATATATATATCGAACACTCAAGGCAGTGTTTGACCACATTTCCAAACCCCTCAAAAATACTCCGCTGCGCGTCGTATTAGGGAGTTTAAGAAACCACGACGGCGACGCCGAGGACAACGTCGATTGAAAAATGAATTTATATTTTACCTATGAGTCTCGCGGTACTCTAAAGTCATTTGCTATGTTTATCACTGTCAAAACTATCACAAAACTAAAACTAAAACACAGCGATAAATTTGAAATATAAATTTAAAAAATGAGCCGTTGTGGTTCTTCTCGGTGTGTGGAAATGTGGTCAAACACGGTCTTTCGTGTTTGATATATTACATCTGTCGTGATCGAGTCTTCCCATTGATACTCTTGAGCCTGGAGGCGGGGGGGGAGGGGGGGGGTTGGGGTGGGGTGGGGCTACCATATAAAGAGGACAAGGGTGCTCGTGGTAAAACCTTATAAGGGTATTCAACCTCAAAAAGTCCACAGCGCGCAGGATTTTTCGCGGTACCTTTTTGGGTATTAAGCCGAAAGCAATACGACGGGACATATTTGACAATCAACTTTAGGAGTAGACAGAATTTGAAGCAAATGTTTTCATCGCTATTAAAAATTTTGAAAGTGTCAGTTAATTTGTTGTGAGCCGTTTATCAACGGTACACAGTACTCACTAGTTTTCAGGTTTATTTCGCAGCTAAAACTCTCTCTAAACTCACGGTATGCTCACAGTTCAACTCGCTGCTTCGTCTCTCCAGTTTCTGAGAAAGTCACCACACGTGCTCACTACCATATTTGGTCACACAATTGAATGTC